TCCAACTTCTTAATTTTCTTTACAGTGTGAATATATAAAATTGATTACCTTAAAACTTATAGTGTGTTTCTTTTTAGGGAATTTAACAACGCCTACTTTTAAAGTACCGGTGTACAATCAACATCTGGTGTCATTCATGCCCAATTTCCAACATGGTTCAAGGAGAAATTGTATAGGGTTGTTGCACCGACTCCAGAAATACTCCATTTGAGAAACTTGTCTAATGGCCCTCGTCAAAGTGCAAACAAATGGCACACATACTTCGTGAACGGATATAAATTTCACACTCATGAATGGACTGAAGGGAAAAAAACCATAAACAGTGGCGTATTTGTGAAAGGAGTTACAGATGGTGGTGAAGATGACTTCTATGGTTTTGTTAAACATATCTACGAGTTAGTATACAATTACTTGGACTCGGAAAATAAAGTTGTCTTATTTTATTGTGAATGGTATGATCCAACTAGAGGCACAAAAATAGATAAGACATATGGTACTGTTGAGATTCAAATGGACCGGAGGTACAAAGAGTACGACCCTTTCATAATGTCAAATATTGTTAGGCAAGTTTATTATGTTCCTTATCCTTCATTTGTGCCACGTAAACGACGGTGTTGTGTTGTAATAAAAACAAAACCATTGGGTCATATTGAAACCGACGATCTAGTGGAGGATGTTGCTTACCAAGTTGATGAAGTTGAAGTTAATGATGTGATTCCAGATGAACACACTACAAGTTTGTCTGATACAATGGTTGAGGGGAATCAAGTTGATGAGGATGAAGATCATGAAGATTCTGGATCTGAGGATAGTATCACATCAGATGACGATGATGAAATGGATGACGAGCATGACGATTCAGAATAGTGAACCTATATTCATGAGAATTGTGTCTTGTAATTTTACTTAACGAACCATTTATTGAATGATTTAATGAATATGTATTCATGAGAATTGTGTCTTGTAATTTTACTCAAAGAACCATTTATTGAATGATTTAATGAATATGTATTCATGAGAATATGTATATGTTAACTTGTATTTTCTTTAATTAGGTAAAAATGCCACCCAAAGATAATAAGGGTAAAGGTCCTAGTGATAGTGGTAGGAAGCCCAGGCGTCCAAGGGTAGTAGTATGCCAGTCACCTCACTCAGCCACGTGTCTTCCCCCACAGAGTCAGGTTCATCATATGTCCATGGACAATACTATGCCATTTACTCCATTACTATCATATCAGAGTCCTCTTCAGTTCCCATCTGGGAGTACATGTTTTATTAGTCCATCTGGGGCACCACCTGGTTTACCATTCCAGCAGACACAGGTGCCCTCATCCTTCCAGCAGACACAGGTGCCCTCATCCTTCCAGCAGACACACGTTCCATCCTTCCAGCAGACACAGGTGCCCTCATCCTTCCAGCACAGTTTTTTATTTCCCACACAGATGCCCTCATTCGTGCAGCAGCCTGGAGGATCCAGCACCCCACTTCCTACACAGATGCCCCCATCTGTCCAGCAGCCTGGAGGATCCACCTCTTCACGACCCACACAGACTGGTCGCACCCCCACATCCCACACAGAGTTGGATGATGACGATCTTGGTGTGGATGATGATCAGATAGATGGGAGAGATCTTTGAGGGGATGATGATCCGAGTGAGATTCATACCATTGATGGGAGATTTTGGATATGGCCTGAAGGGAACTCGTAAGTTTCTTATTTATTGATTTTTATTTATAAGTATACATTTCCACTTTTAATATAACTTTATATAATTAATTATGCTAATTAAATTATTGTTGTTTTAGTTTCGGGCCGAGTCGGACTGTTGCTAAGGTTATCAATTATATAATTCAACAGAATTATACAAAATTTTTGAAGAGTTTTAGAGAAGTTTCCGATAAAGAAGAATGGTTCAAGCAATTTCAGGTATAATTAATTTATTTCTTAAGTTATTTTTATTTAAATGACCTTTTCATTATTGTTATAATTTATCTAACTATTTATTTTAATGTCATACAACATTGCAGGCGAAATGTGTTTGGGATCCCCTGAACCATAACAAAGTAAAAAAAAAATATTTTGGGAGGAGTTCAAGACGACTTTCTGACATGCTACGACGTGTTAGAGAGAATTGGCACCTTTTGGGCATTCTTCCCAAATCGATAGGCAAAGAAGTTTTTGAACAACTTCTTAAGTATTGGGAATCAGATGAATTTAAGGCTAAATCTGAAACTGCAAAGAAGATGAGGGCATCGGAAAAAGGGGATTGCATTAATGCTGTTGGAAGTATTAGTACTGCTGAGCATGCTCGACGCATGGTAATTATTACCACTTTTTAAGGTCATATTTGAATTTATAACATATTATTAATTTAAGTTAATTTTTATATTTATGCTAAGCGTTTGGGGAGACAACCATTGATGATTGAGCTGGTTAAGGAGACTCGGACAAAGAAATCGGGAGGATTTACTGACGAGCGCACAAAAAAAGCCCTGGTAATTAAGTAAATTTATGTTTATATTTTTTTTAAGCAATTTTGTGACGTGATTTTCATGTAGCAAGTGACATGTTGTGGCGTGAAAATTGAGTGGCAACTGATAAGTTGTGGCGTTACAATCACGTGGCTATTTATTTTTTATTATTTTTTTTATTTCATTTAATTTCATTAATGTTATTTATACATTTAACTTGATTTTTTATTGTATGTGTAGGAGGATTATCAGGCGTTGCTTGTAGAATTTCTGACACATAATCCTCAGTATACGCCTCCTCTAGAAAAACCGATTCATCCAGATGTGGATTTCCATATTTGGAGTCAAGTTGTTGGGGGAAAGGGGCCTAACGGGTGTTTTTTTGGTGGTGGAAATTTGGCGGGCACCTTGAGGAGTGGGGATAGAAATCTGTATCAGAGAGCTGCAGACGGTGAAGGAGGGTCACGTCAAACAAATTTGACACCAGATCAGTTAGAACTGGTAAGACAATTGGCTAGACGCGAGTCCGAAGATCGTGAGGTGGCATTGAAGGCCCAAATGGATGCCCGAATGGAGGCAATGAGGGGTGAACATAATAGACAAATTGAGGCAATGGCGAAGAGGCAAGCTGATATGGAGGAGCAAATGCGACAATTTATGCAAGCATTTGGTAGAAATCCCAACAGTGGTGGCCAAAATATAACCACCAAAATAATGATGACTTTCTTCCCGATATTTCCGACGACTCTAATGATTCTGCTTAGTTTTATTTTTATTTTGTATTTAGTTTTTTATTTGTGTAATATAAATTTATAATGATATGGTATATTTAAAAATATTATATATAAATTTAAATTTGAGTTTATTAAATTTATAATATTAAATATATTTATTTATACATTTAGATATATTTAGTTTTGTTTTTGGTAATTTGATTTATAATATTGTATTTAATAAATAAATTATAATATTTAATTTATAAATTTAATAAAACAAAAAATAATATTAAGTATTAAAACAGAATTAATATATTTAAAACACAAAATATTTTTTTTTTAAACAAAACAAGTTGCGGCGTGTTTTTCATGTCATTAATTAGTGACGTGAAAAACACGTCGCTACAGCTAACATAAATATAAATGTAAACCTGCTCTGACCCTCTGCTCTGCTCTGAATTGCTAAGATCCTATACAGTATGTTGCGGCGTGAATTTCACGTGGCAACTTGGTGACATGCTTTTCACGCCGCAACAAGATTGCCACGCGCTATATAGCGACGTGTTTCTTAAGGTTGCAAAATTTGAGTAGTGACGTGATTTGGGTGCTAGCGACGTGACTTTCACATGACAAAACACAAGTTATTTTGTAGTGACATTTCACTTCATCTTCTCAAATATTTCAGTAAAAAAATAACCAAAATTCAAAATCACATATTCAAAAATATAACATGACTATCACCATAATTGACTAAAAGAAGATCTCGTAGTTGATTGAAAGACATAAACGTCATTGGAGTGTGTGATCGATCACCTTAAATGAAAAGGACCAACATTATCAACATACATACATGGAAAAATAATTATTCAAATTACTACACACTTATCCACTAATAACATGTATGGACGATTTGGAGCAGATTTTATTTTCTAACATAGTTTTTTCATTGTTTGATTAATTATCATTTCTGGTCATTTCTGGTCATATTAATTGATTGATTTAAATATACCACCTATCAAAAGATAATTTAACCCAATTCATTGAATGAGTCAATGAAATGGAACAAGATAAAATCATCAGTTCCATTGAAAGCTCTGTACCATCCTTCTCCTGTGATAACAAATCTAGTCACATTCAAAGCATGTATTTGAACTCCACCTAGTAAGAAGAAACCAAAGGTATGAAGAAACAATAAGAAATATACTTAGTGCATGTATTTCATGTGATAACTCACATTAAAATACAAACAAAAGATGGAAAAATAATAGGGGCCAAGAAAAATTATTCCCTAGCTTAACAAATAATAAAACAATCAAACTCTAAAGAAATTTGAATTAAACCCTAAAGAAATTGGAAAAATTCGATCCAAATGAAGAATCACTAAAAAATTATATTTGTTAACTGAGCAAGTAAAACCAAGTGATATATTGGGAAGTGAAAAGGTATACATTGAAAAGAAACAAAATAATTATTAGAAACTTAAAGAATCTGATATTAATATTATATTATAAATTATAAATAATAATTAAATATTAAAAATAAAATTATAGTTAATTATAAGAACATTTCTATTAATAGTAAAGTTAAAAATAGGAGTGACTCTAAAAATTTGACACTTGGCAAATATGTCAAAAATCTCATCTTACTTTATTCTATTGTATGATTTTAAAGTTAATTTATTTAATTATGAGATTCATACATTAATTATAGCTCATATTTTATAATACTTAATATCACAAATGTAAATAAAATAAACTTTTCCCTACTCCCTCGGGGCAACGAGCTAGACGATTTTTAGTTTACATCTTTATTCTAATCTTTTTCTCCTTTATCATCAGTGTCTTCATCTTCATGATCCGCCTCTTCAATAGTTTTGGTAACTTCCCTTAGAATAAGCTTCAATAGTCTCTCATAAGATGCAATTGTAGATTCAAGCATATCAATGGCGCTTCCTTGGTCATGAACTGCGACATCCATCACATTTTCAACCTCACTAAGTTTCATCCGAGTCCTAATCATCTCTTCATCACATAATCTAGAAGAACTAATTAAGCCCCTATTAACACCTTCACCACCCTCATTTCTCTCTATAATATTGATCCCTTTAACCACTATCATATCACTAACGCTTCTCAATATTTGAGCATTCCCCAAAACCATAATGACTTCACCTTCCTCAACATCCCACATCCAAACACTTGCATTTTTTGAAGCAGACACCAAATTTCTCCCATTATTCACTAAAACCAAAGCCACAATTGACCCTTGATGGTTTTTTGTTTTACTACCCCAATTAACTAATTCATAACCTTTTCCTTTTTCTAACATTTTAATGCTCCCAACCTTCACTAGCCCTTTATAAATAAACCCATCTGAACCACCAGCATAGAACAATGACTCTGTAGAATCCATAACAAACCCAAAAATGGAACATGGGAATGTCACAGTTCGAATTAGAGTTATACCATTTAATAAACTCCAAAACTTACACGTGCAATCCATCGAACATGAAACAAATGTACATGTATGAATCCCAATTCCAGTGTTAAAACTTATCACTGAATCAGAATGTGCCTTCCATTTGTGTAAGATTGGGTCACTATATGAAGATGAACCGTCAACAAGCATAAAAGATGGGATCACAATAATAGTTCCATCACTGTAACCTGAACTCAAGAGATATATTATTAACTTGACGATTAAAAAAGAGGTATATTATTTCGCTCGCACTCTCACTATAAAATAATAAAATTACCTGAAATCAGTAGTGATCCATCATTACTAAGGTGGAGGCTGGAAACAGGTTTCGAGTAAGGAGTAAATGATTCGATGATGTCTCCAGAAGGAAGTGACAGGGAGTGGATACTCCCTGACACACCACCTGCAAATAGAAAATCACCATCTGAATTGGCTATAAGTGGAGTGACGGATTCGGGGAGAGGGATATTGTGGAAGACAGTTGAAGTGTCCCAATTGTAGATGTGGATTGAGCCTGAACCTTTATCTAAAGACACATGAGATGTTGCAATGAGTTTTTTGCATGTCATCGTGAAGCCGCAATAGGGTGATTGACTCCCTATGAACTGAGCAAGAATGGCGCCTGTGGAAGCCTCAAATGCTATCATGGGACCATCCATAGAACCAGTTAGGATCACTTCATACATCATCGTGATCGAGTGTATGAAAAAAGGAAGAGAAAACAAAAAGGATATTTAGAATCCGCTTAACAATGTTAAAAACAATTACGACTGCTAGGTCAAGATAGATAAAAAAAAGAATACAAGTTTATGTAGATATCTCTCGAAGAAATTATACTAATATTTATATTAAAAATTTATTAAATTTTAAATGATATTTTCCAATAAAGTAAAATAATGTATGTGCTCATCTAATTTGAAATATTTAAAAATATATTTTCACTGTATTTGATTGGATGATTCAATAATATGTTTATATTTTCATTCAATTATTATTATAAATAAGGTATAATTTCCGTCAACGCGTTTCTTTTTTTTAATGGATTATAGAATAATATTATATAAAATAGCATTAATTGATTTTATTTAATACAATGAACATAATTAAATTAAATTATTGAAAAGAGATGAAAAGGAGAAATAAATTGAATAATTTAAAATTAAAATATATAAAAAAATGTTTTTGTTAAATATTTTATAAAAAACACCGTCGGTGAATCATAATCGTTAGATTATAAATTATGTTTTATTTTTATTTTAATTATTTATTAAATAGTATTAATGAGTGATTATGATGCACAAACCGTATAAAAAGTTTTACACTATACAATAATTAATCTCTTTTATAAATTTGATGTGACTCAAAATAATATAAGTAAAAAATTATATTGTTTAAACATAATTTTATATATGACGATCATCTTTAAAAGAGTGATATGATAAGTTGACAATATGACATTAAGAGTGGACATATATTTTTATTTAATGGAAAGAAAAGTACACATATCATTAATTAATTCATACTCCCTTCGTTTTTTATTATAAGCATTTTTTAAACTATTTTCCTGTATTAAGAAATGTAATAACTGTTATATAAAAAAGAGAAATTATGAAAGGTTTTAAATAATTGTTATTTATTAATGATATTGAGAAGACAAATTTAAATAATAAATGGAGAAAGAATAATAAATATTTAAAGGTATAATAGGAAAAAATAACATTAATGATTCATTGATATTATAAAATGACTTATATTATGGTTCAATATTTTTTTCTAAAGCGACTTATAAAAAATGGAGTGAGTAATGTTTAAACAAGTTTGAATGATTGACTTAACAAGATCAAATGTTTGAACATCATCAAAGAATCTGTATGAATCCAAAAGCGGTTGTACTTGCTAAAAGTACAACATGTTACAATCTTTAGTGATTAAGGGTTGTCAGAGACTTGAAGGTATGTTATAGAGTTGAGAGCTAACCAACATATAAGGTGAAAAGCTTTATATATATAGTTTTTTGTGTGAGAATCAAATTGTCCCTTTCAGCTCTAGGACAAAAATATTTATAGTCGTGTTGAGTCTGGATCCTATGCCTCATAGGAATAGAACTTCTCTAATAAAATGGGGGGGGTGGATGTCTAATCTCCCGTTATTTAGAGGACCGTGGTTGGTTTCCATGACTTACTTATCATTGTGGACCTTTTTAAAAAAATACAGATATACAATATGGATCTATGTGCTTGCATGCTTATTCAAGAAATGATCAAAGATGATAAAGCTCATGGATAACAAGAGTCAAGTAGCTTCTGCTTAACTTTGATGATAGCATAGTTTTGATGGTTTTGATAATGACAACACTTGAAGTCAAGAAACTGGTAAAGCTAGCTCAAGCATTTAAATATGCACAAGATGGTTGATCAAGCTATCCTTCCAAATCAAGCAGATGACTTATGTTTAAAGCCAATACTTTAGTCAAATAACTCTCAAGTAAAGACACATGGTTTATCATCACTAGTGATTTAAGAAATCAAAGATGATTGAAACTAATACGAAAATATCGTAAGCCAAAGATAATGTCAAAGTTCTTGTGTGATGATAAAGTCAAAGATAATGCCAAGACTTGAAATTTCAAAGTGTGAAAGAGTGGAAGTGTAAAAACTCGATCAATCGTGTTCTTTTGAGTGATCGTTGTATTGTAAAAACACAAGACTATTTATGGAAGTATTATGGCTAAATTACACACACACACACATATAAAACATTGAGAAACCTCTCACTTTTTTTAATTACAACAAAAAAAGTTTTTGGAGCCTTACCATTTGATTAGAGGATTGTCTGCTTAATTAACAAATGTATTTAAAGATGTCTAATCGATTAGATTTATATCCTAATTGATTAGATGATGCATGATCAATTCTATAAAATATTATGATAGTTTCTTAATGATTGATAACAACACTCTATATAAATCTTCCATTTTAGACAACAATAATCAATTAATTGGCTCATGGATTGTTTTCAAATTTACACAATTTCTTGGCCTACAAATAGAGATATTATCTATCATTTCAAATCACATATAAATCATGAAAAACATCACTTTTCACTTTTCTCAAACTCTCTAAATCATTTCTACTTTTTTAGCATATTTTAGCCATAGTGCTTAGAGGGGAATTTTGAGTTTTGTGAGGAATTTTGTTATGGGTGAGGGCTTATTTGTAAATTTCACAAGAGTATATTTTTCTCTTGATTAAATATTCTCCCTTTGGAAGTGATTTTTTGTGTGGATATAATCCATTGTAAAATCTCTTTTGAGAATTAGTATAAGTCTCAGTTTTTTGTGAGCTTCGCCATTGAAGAAAAGTCCTTTTTTGGGTTCGTGAAAAATAATTAGTGAAAAATATTCACAATGGCTCTTGAGCTTAGCCAGAATAAAATCTCTATCTATTCGAGATCAACTTGGTATAAAATTTCACTTGATTTCTAAGTTCATCCTCGTTAAAAGCTCAGTAGGCTCAAGATCATCTCGGTAAAAATCTAGGTTTCGTTTGTGGTCAGCCCGTATAAAATGTCGGTTCGGTTAGAAGGATAGCCAACTAAAAATCCATCTTGGTTTGAGATCAGCTTGTCCTAAATCTCTATTTGGCTTATAGACTAACCGCTTGAAGCTCTATTCATTGTTTGGTTTAGAGATTAACTGCTTCAAGCCTTCGTTCGTTGTTTAGTTAAAAGTTAGTCTGAAAATTTATTTCCTTGTATAAGGGTGTTTGTGGGCTTAACCTTCTAAAATCTCTCAATAAATATTGGTTACTCTTAATAAAAATTCTTAGAGATATGATTAAGCCACTTTACTAGACCGAACCTATAGAATTCTCTATTGTTGTTTTTTCTTCCCTTATCTCTTTTGATTTCCACTTAATGTCCTTATTTTGATTTTTTGCTGCTTACTTATTCAAATGTCTTTGATAAAATGTTTTCAAACTCTAATTTATAAAATGATTTAGTTTTAAACTATCGATTTTCAAACCTCCACAATTCACCTCCTTTTGTTTATGGAGTCACATGTTCAACAAGTGACATAAGAGCCTAACTCCTATTTAAAGACTAATCATCTTAGGAGGAAGATGACTTCTGACATTTTTTTAACCAGAGGACTTCTAAACACACCTACAACATTCAACGGTGATAGGTTTGAATTTTTAAAAAATTATATTTAACATATTTATTCGAAGTTTTGATTATGAATTATGGGAAACAATAGTCAATAGTCCGTTTGTCCATACCCATTGCATAAATGGTAAAGTAGTAGATAAACAAAATTTTCTTTGGACCATAGAAGAAAAGATAAATTTTGATATGGATTTAAAAAAAAAATTCTTAGTATCATCTTTAGAGGAAAATCAATTTTTCTATGTCCACAATTATTATTCAGTCAAGAAAATGTAGGACACTCTTGAAATGATCTTTGGAGTTTCTCCAAGTATCATACAAGAGAGAATAAACACTCGATGTGAAGAAGATGTTTTCTTCACTAGTAAATGATTTTCAACCTTTAGAAAATTTGGAAATAACGTTAGAACTTCTGTCACTAACAAATGTCTAAGAATTAAGAATTGGAATAAAAAATTGATCCAATTCTTAAATTGAGAGGTGTGAATGTTTATGATTTTCAAGAAAAATTCACGAAGGAATAAATTGTCGAGAAATATAATGGGTTAATTCAATTGTTAAAGGATGTAGGCATGAGCTTAAATCTAGAAGGATCTCTAGAAACCTCACAAAATAACATGTGAAAAAGAAAAATCAACTTCAGTAATCTCCTTTGAATGAACAATTTCAGTGATTGAAGGATCCTCAGAAGATTCAACATCAAATGGAGAAACTTCATCAAGAAGAGAATATGAAGAAGAAGAAGAAGTCTCAATGAAAAATACATTCAAATATTAAACATCAAGGAGAAGTTTTATACGGTGGCAGAACCGACTGTTTTGAAAAATGCTGGTTTGCGTTTTGCGTTTTATATTCGCAAAATGTCGCGGTAAGCAAGAGTCGCCACTGACTTTTATTTTATCCAACCGGAAAGGAAAAAAGCACAGAAAAAAAAATTCATTTTTCGAGATATTCTGAGTACGGGGGGTAGATTATAGAAAGGGAAGGTATTAGCATCCTTTCTATCCATGGTTTTCCATGGGCTCTTAGGTATCTGCTCTTCTTTTAAAATTGCATGTGTGTGTTTGTTTTGAAAAGTTTTGTTTTACTTTGTTTTAACCCTTGTTTCTATCCTCAAGAGTGTTACGAAGTGTTTTTGAAAACTTTGTTTGAAAAAAGTGTAAGTGTGAAAAGTTTGATTTTGAGCAAGTACCTATTAGCATCTACCTACTCGAAAAAAGATCGTTTTTGTTCTTGTTTCCTTTAGACAACGCTATCCTACTATTGAGAAATAGGTAGCACCGTCGTTGGAATTGTAAGGGTCAATTTGTAAGGGACGTACGATCACCAAAGCAATATTAGGACGTCTTAGTAATAACCCTAGAGTCTTAAGATCATATTCGAGGCAACATTTCCGAGATAACATTTCCGAGGCAACGTTTGATCTCTTTAGACATGAGGGTAACTACTAAGACATCCTATACTCAATGACCGTTTACCGAAGGCAACCGAAGTGAGAGTATACCCTAGGAGTGCACATGTG